AATGAAGATCAGCCGGAGATAGGCCAGTATTCGGCGAGAGGCTAGCAACGGAGGCTGCAGCCTGAGCCGGTGTTAGAGCTGGGTCATCTCCATCCGAGATCGATCCAGGAGCATCTCTGGATGATTCCTCGAGGATGGGTGATGGGATTACCGTTTGAGGTGGATCTATTTGGGTCAGTTTTATAGGCTTTTTAGTTTTCTTAGGTTTAGTTTTGTCTTTCTTTTTCTTAGACGAGTCATCCGGACGGGTTGGAGCTTTCGACATTGAAGTCAAGCTCAACTTTAAAGCAGGCTTCAAAGGGTCCTCAAGGTGATGGAGTCACTGGGCTCTGTATCGGGCGAGAGGTTTCTCGATGTCCCAAATACAGAATTCGTCAGTTTTATAGGCTTTTTAGTTTTCTTAGGTTTAGTTTTGTCTTTCTTTTTCTTAGACGAGTCATCCGGACGGGTTGGAGCTTTCGACATTGAAGTCAAGCTCAACTTTAAAGCAGGCTTCAAAGGGTCCTCAAGGTGATGGAGTCGCTGGGCTCTGTATCGGGCGAGAGGTTTCTCGATGTCCCAAATACAGAAATCAAGAAGTTGTTGGATCCATAGAGAATGGATTAAGAGACCTTTTCCAAAAGTAAGAATGAAGTCTTGGCAGGTGTAGTTTCAAAACGGGCTTAGTAAGCTTTTTGCACTCGAGGCAGGAGTGCATTTGGTGTTGTTCTCCTAAGCAGAAGAGGCAACGGTCATGACTGTCGTTAAGTGGGATCTAAAAGTAGGGGAAAAGGGAAGGGAAAGGTGGCGATGGAGGGGGGAGAAAAAACATGGAAAGAGAAGAAAAAACAAATGGAGGAGATTCAAAAAGGAAACAGATAACTTACAGGGGAATGTCCAATAAAAGAGATGACTGAAAATATAAAAGGAATAATTGAAATAGTTAATTGATCTTCAGTTAATTCTGAAAGAAGCGGCGGCAAAAAGGAACTGAGGGGACTTTGGGAGGGCGGAGCATGCGCTCCATGGGGGAACGTCCTACTAATCACATGTCTTTAAACTCTAGAAACTTCCGAGACGTCGCGTGCAGGAGCAGAACAACCCAATTGTGTGCATTCACAGCGCTTTTGGTGGTGGACAGGGGGCACTCTCACTGTTCTGCAGCTACACAGCTCCATACGTAGCAAACTGTGATGCACTGTATGTTCTGACACCTTTCCATTATGGCCAGTATTAAGTTTTGCAGGCATTTGTGCTAAGGTAGTTCTTCTGTGTAATCAGACCAGATGGGCTAGCCTTTGTTCCTCATGTCCATCAATGAGCCTTGGGTGCCCATAAACCTGATGCCAGTTCACCAGTTGTCCTTCTTGGCACCAATTTTGGTAGGTACTTACCACTGCATACCAGGACCCCACAAAACTTGCTGTTCTGGAGATGCTCTGACCTAGTCATCTAGCCATAACTCTTTGGCCCTTGTCAAAGTCACTCAGATCTTTTTGTGTTCCCACATTTCCTACTTCCAACGCATAAATTCAACTGACTGTTCACTTGCTGCCTAATATATCCCATCCCTTGACAGGTGCCATTGTAACAATATAATTAAAACTATTACTTCACCTGTCAGTTGTTTTAATGTTGTGGCTGACCAGTGTATGCTGTTGTGGGAACCTAGCAGGGTAGATCTGTTGTACACTACCTTCTCCTTCAAATGAAAAGGACACAATAATAATAGCTAAAACCAATGAAGAAGCTGACATGCATAACTAATCAACCACATTCTATAAATCATAGGCAAACAGTTTACTCTCCAGTTTCTGAACATATTAAAAACCCTTTCCATTACAAAAGAGATCTGTCTCCCTTGCAGAGGAATCGAGAGGAATCCTGTAGCAAAAGCAATATTTCTTGATTCCGACATGATGCCATATTTTGGACTATTTAAAGTTATTCTATATTGCATATTTTTCCTTGGATCTTAGAAAATACTTTCTGCTCATATTATAAAGAAATAACAAGTTATCTTTTACACTTCCAACAGTTTTTGAAGACAGTCCTGTACAATATTAAAACTAATCCATTTTCCAACTTATTTTTAATAAGGAGATCAAAAGATAGATGTAAGCTTGAAAATGAAGCACCTCTTCAAAATCCACAAAATTAACTGAACAGTGATTCATTTCACTTTCCTCTGGGCAACATATTCTCCTTTTAACATTTTTCTCGCTGCCATGCTCATAAACCATCATTCTGTTTCAAAATAGTCAGAATAATATTTGCTACAAACCAGAAAACATACAATTACAAGCCCAAGGAGCAATGGCTAAGCTACTACAAACACTCTTCTCGGTAATGTGTTTTCACACATACAGTATTGCCGTCCTAAAGGACATTTAAAGCTCATGTATTTTCTCATTGAACTAAACAAGAAATGGAAGCACAGTATATTTACCTGTGCATTTTAGTTTAAATTAATGCTTTAAAATGTGACTTAAACTTTTAAGAGCCAATTTGCATATCCCCCCCCTTCCCAAAAAATTAAGCAGAAAGACAAAACAATTCTAGTTAGTTAGTTATGTGGCAAAGTTGGAACTGACTTATAGTGACCCTAATAAGGCTTTCAACACAAGTAATTAACTTAAGGAGTACCGTATTTTTCGCTCCATAAGACGGACTTCCCCCCCAAATAGTGGGGGAGAAAGTATGTGCGTCTTATGGAGTAAATACAGTAAAAAAAGGGTTCAGCCACCACCACCCAGAAGCCTCCCACTGCCATGCTGGGAGGCCTCTGAAGTGGCACCAGAGACTATTCGTTGTTTGGACCTCACCATTCTGCACTGCTAGCTTTCCAGGATCTGCTTCCTGCAGCCTACCTGGAAAACCAGCAAGGCCAATAGCAGTAGGCAATGAAAATAGGCAAGGACCAAAGGGGGGAAAAAGAGTGATTCTACAAAAACCAGGAGAAACCACAAACACATTTCCCCACTTAGGCAGTTGATTTTCCCACATATGGGAAAATCATAGGGGTCAGCACATCCAAAGTGCAATATTTATT